AGGGCTTGACAAGGGACGCGCCAGAGAGGCCAAGAATAAGGGGATCCAGCCACGGGGCAGGCGTGTGGACAGCACTGGAAACAGCCTGACTTGTGCTCTTCCGATGCTGGTGCAGCAGGAGCCGTGCAAGGGGGGCAGGAAACAGGGAAACACAGGAGGAGACCGAATGGCCAGGAGGAATTGCTTCAGAGTCACAGGTGGAAAAGAAATCGCTGTCGGGGCCACTCCAGGATAAAACCCCACAACTCCATGCAGCAGTTTGGAAAGTTACTGAGAGCCAACCAGCCGGTTCATGCCTCACAACTCCAGGTCCACCCGACGAATCCGAAAGGCTCCTGGGAACAGGACAAGTGCAGAAGGGGTCACTGCACACAGCCGTCTCTGCACAGGCCGGGACGCGGCCGGCAGCCAGGACACACAGCGAAGCCTCCAGGCGGAGAGCACGGGGGCCCCCAGAACGAGGAAGCAGCCTGCCAGCTGCCGGCTCAGCCATGCCTCTTCCCACACATTCCCGCCCGAGTCCCATCGTCATCCTCAAGGCCCTGCTCACAGGATGTCTGGCTGAGGAACGGCGAAGAGCAACTCGGGGGAGCTTTGCTCCGTGCCCCCCCACACCCCCCCGCTGTGGAATACCCTCCCCAGAGTGGCCTGCCCAACACCAGCTTTACTGTCTTCTCTGAGCCAGGTGCAGACTTGTTTATTCTTTAAATCCTCCATATTTCTATTGCGATGTTGTCCTTTGAAGAACTCTGATGTTTAATTGTTTCTTCTACTGCCTCATTGCTTTTAGGCTCCGCTGCTTTAAGGCGATTATATTATAATGCTGTTTTTACGTAGATTTAGTGCTTTTACAATATGCCACCCTGAGAGTTTCGAGCAATATAATGACTAACAAATTAAGGGAAAATAATGCAGAGGGAGGAATCCTATGGTGCCCTAGACAGCACCTATGGGGCAAGAGGATACCCTGGCCCCCTCACCCTGGCCCCAGAGATGAGAATCCAGGCTCCAGGCACCCAGCCCCTGCCCCTTCCAGCCAGCATGGAAAGAACCAGGCTGGCTGTCCTTCCAAGGCCAAGAACGTGACCCTGGGGACAGTTCAGAGGGCGGGGAGCAGAGGGGGCTGGGAGGGCCAGACGAGCTGTGTGGGGCCCTCTCCTGCCTCCTTCCCTGCCCCACTGAAACGCTTCGGCTGCACAGGCACAGGCAAAAAAGCCCCGCTGGCAAAAGAGGTGAAGAACGAGAACAGGGGGAGGGGAGGTGCACCTCGGCCGCCCTGCCCCATGGGGCCTCGCAAGCGCCCGAGTCCTCGCTGGGCACTGACCCCCCGCCCCACCTAGCTGCCCCCTCTGCCTCTCTGGCAAGACGAGGGCAGCCGCCGGTGAGCCGCCAAGCAGCGAGTGCCCCGCGGCACTTGGCAGAGGCTTTCCCGGGCGCCGAGGGCCGCACATGCGCACGCCGGAGCCGGAGCAGGCGGGAGAAGCGGTGCAAGAGAACGCGAGCGCACGCACTTCACTGTGCAAGTGAGCATGGTCTGCGCCGTGTGGAGGGCACAGCGGGGAAGGGAAGCAGGGCGCCCTCTGCTATAAAAGACGGGCGCTCACCAGAGCCGCTCTGGCTTCACGGGGCACCAAGGGGCTGCGACAGCCTTCCCCACGCTGGGGCCCTCTACGTGTTGGACCACAGCTCCCAGCTTCCCCATGCTGACTGAGCATAACGGAAGCGGAAATCGAACCCATCCAGAGAGCAACAGGTTGCAAAGGACGGGGCGTCATTTGAAAGCCATCGGGGACCTGCTCTGCACATTTGTATTTGGTAGGTCGAGGTAAATAGAATTAATGCATCCTAATTACAGAGTCCTGCCTGACCTACCTCACAAGGTTGTAGTGAGAATTAAAGTGCGAGGGAGATGATGTGAGCTGCCTGGAGTTCCTTGAAGGAAAAGGGCAGGGTACAAATACAGACTAATTAATTAATTGCAACCACACAAGGGCAAGCCACTGTGGTGCAGTGGTGAAGAGCGTGGGACTGGGACTCAGGCGATCCGGGTTCGGGTCCCCGCTCGGCCATGGAGCCCACTGGGGGACTTTGGGCCAGTCACAGGCTCTCAGCCCAGCCTACCTCACAGGGTGGTTGTTGTGGGGATAAGATGGAGATGTAGGCTGCCTTGAGCCCTTTGTAGGAAAAAGGCAGGATATAAATCGCAATGTAACTAAATAAGCCACTACAAGCGCCCTGCCAGGGTTCTCGCTCCACACAAATAATGCTTTCAACCTGCTGCTGAGTACCGACTGAGGTGTGCACCCTGAAAAGGCCCCACCCGTGGCTGCCACCTGCAGGCCAGCCCCCCACGGGGGGAGTCCAGCGCCCGCTATGCCAGGGGTGTCCAACCTTGTGGCTTCTCTGGGCCACCCTGGAAGAAGAAGAATGGTCTTGGGCCTCACATCAAATACACAAACACTAATAAAAGCTGATGAGCAAAAAAAGGGGTCTGTGCATAATTTTTGTGATATCCAGCACCACAGATATGCAAAAGTCCTCACATAATAATCCTAAGAGAGCATGCATACGTTTATTTTACGTGGCATTGCGACATGATGTTGCCATCTACGAAGGTCACGCTTGAGAACCACACAATCGAGTTACCCAAAAATCGCCAAAAAATAGTAATAAAAAAGCTCATAATGTTTCAGGTTAGTTTATGATTTTGTGTAGGGCCGCACTCATAGCCATCCTGGGCTGCATGCGGCTCGCGGGCCACGGGTTGGACACCCCTGCGCTACACCCACCTGCCTCCGTCCAAGAGCACCGGGGCACTTCGGTCCACATTCAGCACCCACCTCCTCCCAGGTGCACCACGCAGCTGTTACTCACACAACCACCACGTGAGGCAGATGAGGCTCAAGACTGCCCATCTCCCCACACACCTGGAAAATGTGCCCCCCCAGCGCTCTCAAGAGGTCAAATGAAGGCATGCACGCTTTCACCGGGAGCCAGTGCGGCTTAGCGGTTAAGAGTGCCGGACTGGGACTCAGGAGGTCCGGGTTCGAGTCCCCGCTCGGCCATGGGGCCCACTGGGCGACCTTGGGCCAGTCACAGTCTCTCAGCCCAGCCTACCTCACAGGGCTGCTGTTGAGGGAAAAGACTGAGACCGGGAGGAAGAGACTAATGAACGTCTCGAGTTCCCTGACAGGAAAAAGTCGGGTATACATACGATGGATGATATGATTCATATCACATAAATGTAGGATTGGTGAAGTGATGTATGCATGATACATACATACTTCGCTTCCCCATCCAATGTACGATTGGTGAAGCGGAGGGGGTCTTTCCTTATGCGGCCTTCCCCAGCCTGGTGCCCCTTCGGGGGACTGTGACTGAACGGGAGGCGTGAGGTGTGTTGATGGCACAGCGACAGCACGGGTGCCAGAGAGGCAGCTCTGTGGGGGCACCACCAAAGCCGGCAGCAATGCGGCCAAGAGGCCCCGACACGAACGGCGCTTGAGAGCCCCCGCACCGGGACAGCACCTCGGCAGGTGGCCGCCGCGACCAATGCGCATTTGCATTCGGGCCGGTTTCGTCTAACTGCAGTCCTTTGCCTGGCGCGGGTAGATTTCGCTTGCAGAAGAGGCAGTGGTGGAACGGAGAGTCCTATTTCGTACATTAACTCACGCGCACAGCTGCTAGCAGCAGGGGGCTCGGCGGGGGGGGGGGCTGGGCAGAGGCCCCCGCCCCAGAGGCCCCCGCCCCGCTGCAACCCCTCTCTGGACCGGGCAGCCGCATGCTGGGGGCCCGAGCAGATGGCCCGGAAGCCCCCCCGGCTCGCTGTTTCCGTGGGGTGCCCAGTCCGAGGGCCACGCAAAGCGGGGAGAAAGCGCCGCAAGGCGGCCAAGCGAAGCGCCTCGACCGGCCCCGCCGCGGCTGCTCCGCGAGGAGCCCCGGGAGGCTGCCCAAGGCCCGGCCGCTCCCCCCGCGGGCCCTCCGCGCCCGCGCCACGCGTCTCCCCGGCCCTTCGCGGCGCCCCGCGCCCCGGGCCGCCTCCCTGGCCCCGGCCTCGCCTACCTTGCGGGGCCGGCGCAGCGCGCTCGGGGGCCCGGGCCCGACGACCTCGCGGGGCTCTGGCGGCGA